GTGAATTTAGGGTTAATTTAGGTTAGCATGTGCATGTTCATTTGCATGTAATTAGTATGCCATTTAGTATGCATTTCGGCCATGTGCACACATGCACATGGTGTGACCGAAATGATGCTCAAATGGATACCAAATTACATCCAAATGAGAGGCGCACATGCTGGTGACCGGTTGGCACCAAAATTTGAATTAAAACATTCAAATTTTGGCGCCTAAGGTTAAGTTAAATCATACCATGGTTTAACTTAACCTTGGGTCAAGCCAAACTTGTTCATCACAATACTTACCCTATATATTCACCTTGGCCGGATTGTGTAGCCACTTTTGGATGATATATGAGAATTCTCTCCTTGTGCAAATTCTCCTCCGAAAGTCTCCCTAGATCCTTTCTTCTACCCTACTTGAGCTCCTCTCTTTGTAGAGTTAGGATCACCTACCTTCTAACCTGAATTGGAAGGGTAACCTTGGTCACCCTTGCTCCTTCTTCTAGTTTCAAGTCCTTGCATCAATCCAAGGATCCGAGAAGGAGTTGTTTGTGAAGCATCCATGGAGTTTTCACCATTGAAGACTTCATCAAGTTTCTTTGGCTACAGCATCACGTCTTTCTCCTCTGATTTTACATCGGCGTTGTGCTACTGGTTTTGCTTCTTTATGGATGGCTAGCCTGTGGCATATAAGGTCGGAACTAATCCCTGGCATGTCATCACTTGACCAAGCAAATAGGTTAGCATTTTTACGTACCTCGACGATTATTTTCTGGCGTAGCTCGGTGCTTATGTTTCGGCTCACCTTGGTGCATTGACCTGGGTTCTGGCCGATTTGGAATTCTACAAGCTCGTCAACTGGGCTTAGCCTTTGATCGGTGCAGTCAGATCGGGGGTCCAGATCGGTGAATGCTGGGCTGGCGATGTGAGCCACTATTGTTGGGGATGGTTGGTCGGCGCGTTGGGTGGAGACCTTAAGGCTCTCCGCATAGCATTGACGCGCAATTTTCTGATTTTCTCTGATAGAAATGATGTCGCCGTTAAGTCCAAGGAATTTCATGGTAAGATGTTGGGTTAACACTATTGCACCCATCTGGTTTAACGTGGGTGACCAATGATGATGTTATAAGAGGTGTAAGCGTCAACAAGGAGTTACTTGACCATGATTCTCCTGGTCGAGGGCGGTGTTCTAAAGGTGGTCAAGAGTTTGACGTATCCTCTGGTGTGGACACGCTCCCCAGCAAAGCTGACTTGGGGCTGGTGGTGAGGTTGGATCAGCGAGTGTGGTATGTCTAGTCGGAGGAAGGTAGGCCAGTAGAGGACATCGGCCGAGCTGCCCTGGTCAATTAAAGTTTTTTGAACGGCCCAATTTGCAACCTCGACGAAGATGACAACTGGGTCGTCCTGGTTTGGGTTGATGTCGGCATAGTCCTCGTCGGTGAAGGTGATAAGAGGGTTTTGTGGCATGTGGCTTGTTGACCTACCTTAAACATGGTTGACACTGCGAAGATGTCGCTTGCGGGCCGAGTTGTTGGCGCCTCCCCGTGCAAATCCTCCAGCGATGGTGTTGATTACACCTCGTAGGGGGGGCCTGGTTGGGTTCCAAACTGGGACTTGGCTGGTCGGCATACCCGGTGTTGGGTTTGGACTCGATAGCTTGATCGTGGCGAGAGTGATATCCTCGCCCTCTTCTGCGTCCTCGTTCGGCATGCCCTGCCCTGTTGGCCTGGGATTGTTGGACATATTGTCCTAGATGACCGGCCTACACGAGCTCTTCGATTTTGTCGCGGAGTGTCCAACACTCTTCAATAGTGTGGCCGAAGTTGCGGTGGTACCGGCAGTGCTTGGACTTGTCGACATTCGTCGGGGTGTGTGCCGAAGGTGGCAGAGAGATGAGGTCGGGATTGACTACCTCGTCAAGGATGTGGACGTGTGGTGTGTTTAGGGGAGTGTAGAAATCGTACCTTGGTCCCTTACCTTGGCGGGATCACTTGAAGGTGGTCTCGTTGGAGACCCTGAGTTTCTCCTTATGGTTGGTGTTGTTGCCATTGCCTGTTTTTGCGCGCATTTTGTCACGAAACTTGTCATGCTCCTCCATCTGTATGTACCCAGCAACTCATGCTTGTAGGTCGTCCATGTCATTGGGTGGCCTCCTGTAGAGATTATCAACAAAAGGACCTGGTTTGAGCCCCATGAGCATGGAGTGCAGTGCGACCTCAGGGTTGATGTTCCGAATCTTCACAGACACGTTGGCAAAGCGTTCCATGAATTTTCGAAGGGACTCGGTGTCACCCTGCCGGAGGTTAGCCAAGGCGACCGAGGTGATATGATGTGGGCGGCTGGTGGCATACTGAGCTGTGAATCGACGCGAGAGCTCGTCGAAGGTACTTATTGACCCTGGAGGTAGCTAGGTGTACCAGTTTAGAGCGGGGCCCTTCAGGGAGGTAGGGAACACACGACACATGATGGCGTCGTCATCGGATTATAGGTTCATCTGGGTGATGTACGTGTCCAGATGCTCATCCGGGTCCGAGGTGCCCTCATATCGGTCAATGTTCAGTGGCTTCCATCCATGTGGGAAGGGGGTCTCCATGATTCCATCAGCGAAAGGGTGTCGTCTCGTGCCAATCCTCGGACCCGAGGTCTAGAATGGCCCCTGGCTAACATTTGCGGTTCTGCGCGATGTTGGGGCATGTGACCGATTCGTTCGAGGTGGGGAGGACGATTGGTGCTCGGCCTCGGGGGATCGTCGGATGGTGGCCGTCGTGGAATCTGCGCGTGGATGCGCTTGTTCTCTGCTCGCAAAGTCGCGATGTCAGCTTCGTGTTGGGCACGCATGGCGGCTATGGCGGTGGCATTTTGTTGTCGCAGGATTTCGATCTGCTCGGCTAGGGTCTCAGCAGCGGTGGCTCTATCCATGTTGGGCCCGTTGTGCTGAGCATTGGTGGGCGGCCTGTTGTTGCTGCGGGTGGAAACCATTGTTGCGGCCGTATGAAATTTTTTCTTCAGCCCCACGGTGGGCGCCAAACTGTTCTTACCTGAGATCGGTGGGTGAGGTGATCTTTGGGTAAGATCGGTGAGCCTCCTCTGCTTGGTATGTCTGCTGCTCCGAGATGGGGTTGGTACCTGCAAAAGAGACTCCAATAGTTAAGTTAGTCTTTGTGGGTGTATGGGTCTCATATATATAATGCACGTACTTTGATATAATTAGAGTTTTTCCTTTGTTGATAATTAAGTTGGTTAGGATATGATAAAATCTCCTTCTTATCAGCTTATCTTATTTATTGGGAGGATGAGCCGTCCTTCCGAATTGGTGTGGTCTGAACTAGGGATGGCAACGGGGCGGGGCGGGTACGGGTTTTATGATACCCGTCCCCGTCCCCGCGAGTCAAATCCCTCACCATCCCCGTACCCGCCGGGTATGTGATTTTCATC